TTGGTTTTGCAGATAAATGTATTAGATATGACAAATTTGGACACAAGGCAACTGAATGTCGTTGCTTTGCAACCTATCTTGCCTAGCCCTTTAATGATACCTCAGGACTGGGATTTAATAGTAATTGATTTAAAAGACTGTTTTTTTTCACAATTCCTCTACACCCAAGCGATTGTGAAAAATTTGCTTTCTCTGTCCCAGCAATTAACAAAAGAGAGCCTGCTAAGAGATATGAATGGGTTGTTTTACTTCAAGGTATGAAAAATTCTCCTGTTCTTTGTCAACTGTATGTTGCCTGAGTATTGCAACCGATCTGATAAAAACTGCAAATCACTATATGGATGATATCCTAATTGCAGGCAAAGATTTAAACAAGGACCATCTGCTCTACCTGCTACAATCAGAATTAGCGAAAGCAGGACTGGTAATTGCACCAGACAGAGAGCAGCATGAAACCCTTGGAAATATCTGGGGTGGATCATTTCCGGAACTGAAATTAGGCCTCAAAAAGTTAAAATTACCACACAGATAAAAACGTTGTCTGACGTACAGAAATTGATGGGTGATATTCAATAGATCCGCCCTTTGTGTGGAATAACAAATGATGATCTGACTTATCTCATGCCCCTTCTAAAGGGTGAGTCAAAAAAAAAAAAAGAAATTAAAAGCTCAGAATGAGGGCTTAGATCACAGCATGACAGAAATCACCACCTCTTATGCTGCTCAATGGAATCCAGATTTACAGGTTATTGAGTATTATCCATTTAGTCTACTAGCACAGTGGGATCTTCAAAAGACTGATTCTTTATGCATTTTAGAATGGATTTTCCTACGTAAAACTGTAACTACTGTAACTACTTGGTTAGAAGTATTTGCTCTTTTGATTATACGAGGTCGTTCACGTTGTCAGGATATTATGGGCTGTGATCCATCACAAATTTTTTGCCACTTACCAGGGTATGGTTAGACTGGGCACAACAATCTAGCTCTGCTGTTCAGTTTGCTCTGATAGGTTTTGTTGGTCCTCTTAATATACATTTTCCACCTCATAATATGTTTACAATGGTAAAGAATAATCAGTTTGAAGATGTTACCTTTTATCCTAGTAAACCCATTGTAGGATTAACTGTCTTTACAGATGCAAGCAAAATTAATCACACAGCCGGATATGTTTGACAAACAGACGATGGTTGGAAAGAGCAGAAGATATTTGGTCATTTTTCCAATTTGCTACAAACAGTAGAGCTAAGTGCTGTTATTGCAGTATTTCAACAATGACCTGACACCCCTCAGTATTGTCTGCGATTCTTTATATGTTGCAAGGATACAGAAAGCTGTATATGTTATGAATTTTTTGCGATTGACAGGAGATTTTAATGACCCCCCCTGCTATAATACATGGTCAGGCATTAGGTTCAGGCTATATGACTAAAATTCTGGGTATTCTGGTCCAGTACAAGGATTTGGAAACTGGCATTTGGAAAGGTCCTGCAGAAGTAAAACTAAGTGGTCAAGGTAATATGTGTGTAATTACGGATTCCGGTCTGCGGCGGGTGCCAGCTCGATGGGTGAAACACTGGAAAGAGTCAGCACTGCCCCAGGACACCCCCCTTGTCAGTGATTGAATGAATTGAAATTTGAGCTTAGGACATCTGTTTTATGGATGTTTTCAGTCCTTCTTAAAGTGAAGGGAGCAACCTTTTTTACGTTAAGGTAAAAAAAAAAAAAAAAAAAACAACACCAAAAACACCACCATCCCCCATCCCCCTCCCAACCTTCGCTGGTTGCCGCTGCGGCTGCAAAGACTGAGGACAGAGATGAAGATGATCCTTTTGACTCTGGCCCCATTGACCCCGAGAAGGAGCCTGTGCACTGCTCCTAAGGTTCTGATGCCTGATAATTCTGATGCTGACGTGGATGGTCCTTTTGACCTGGAGCCTATTCATCTGGAAAAGGAGCCTGATTTATATCCCCCAGATCCTCATGTTAAATGCACAGCTGTAATGGAGAAGTGAGACCAGTGGAGGATGCAGATGTATTGTATTGTGTGCTTTCCTGGTGGTGTATGTTCTGCATCAAGACCCGCAGTGGGAAGGTCTCTCGTATGCTCTTATCAGGAGTATCGGGCAGACTGTGATGGACTGAGGACTTATGACCCCATATACAACTCATTTAATACATTCTCTGTGTGATACTCATGTACTAGAAGCTGGTAAAAATAAGTATGTCCAGGTTTCTATCGACCTTTGGAGACCTTTATAAATGCTGCTGGCTACTTCTTCCAACATAGGCTGGCCACCTGTGTCGGAATGAGTGTGCATTTTGGTCGGTATAAAACCCCAAGCCTCATGCAATGTGGGGGAGGCAGAGCCTCTGCGGGGATGCCTGCTAAGGTTGAGCCTGCCACCTCGCACTGTGATGATGCTTCTCAGAGCTGGTTTCTTGTTAGTCTCCACAGGGTCCTTGTGCCATGTTCTGTACATGGGATTGTGTAGTGGAAGTAATGATTGTTGGGATTTTGTGCTTCAAATATTGTAGTTGTGTGGAATGTGCTTGTGGGATCCCATATGTGTTGTTGAGGGCAGTGTTCTGTGTATTTTTGTTGTTGGGTTCATGTAAAAGTTTCTAATAGATAGTAGAAAAGGGGCAATGATGCAGCAAACTCCTTGTTTAACCTGTCCACTTCTCAAGAACTGATAACCTGGAGGAGGAGGTGTATTTGTGTCCTCCTGCCTACAGGTCCATGGCGAATGCCTGCAAAGTTTGTCAGGCCTTGCCATGAGCTGGAAAGACGAATGGAGGAACCTGATGCCTCAGCTGCAGGAGCTGAATGTGAACACCCCAAGCAGAATGAGATAGAGGAAGAGAAAAACCAATGATTGCTAAACATCATTTGGGGGCAACTGAAAAGTAACAGCTTGAATATGTGTGTTTGTAAAGTAGCTATTGTTCAAGGCTTTGATTTTGTGTATGAAACCACCTGTATTCACTAGCCAGTTACTGATAAGAAGCTACACCTTGTATTGTATAGATCTGTCACTTGTAAAAGAAATGTCAGAGTATGCAAATTTGTAGTAGCTGCTAGAAAATGCTAAGGCAAAAGATAGAAATATTCTAATACAATGGTAGTGTTATAAAGCAGGAACAAATTAAGAGGGTGTGAGAATTCCGCTGGTAAGAAATTTCTTTGGCTAGTCCCTTGTTGGCATCAGCATCTTCAACATGCTGCTGCACTCTGTAATAGTTACTCTGCTAATGTAAATCTGTGTGTGTGCCTTGCCATAATAACAACTTGTTATTGGATGAAGCAGGTGAAACCGCATTGACAACAAGGTGCAAGGACTGAGGCTGACCAAATGCCTGCTACCACAATCAAGGGCAAGACTGGATTGGCCTCTGTGCCTGCCACCAAGAAGAACCTTTAGCTCCGCTGCTGGCTGCAACCCAGCAGGCGTGGAGCGGTGGGGACACATGCCATGCCAGACCTTGATGGGAAGGATGGCCTCCCCTGTTACCAGAGAGCCATACAGCAGAAAAAAGGGGCAGGCCCAGCAGCCTGTAGTTGGCATATGTTGAAAATATGATTTAGCCCAAATCCCCTGCTCAAGTAGGGTCATCCAAAAGATACATAAAACAAAAAGGGGGAGATGTGGAGGCAGTGTTCTCACAGGAGAATGCATAATTGGTGCAAAAACTGAATAATCCTGAAAGATACAGCAAGGCCGTGAGAGGCCCGAGGAAGCTTAAACAAGCAAGATAAGAAGCTGTAATTCACTGAGTTAATGAGAACTGTGGACTGTTGGCAAGCTTTCGAGGTCTGGTTCTCACACCTGTGCTTAACCAATTGTGTGTTAATCACTAAGGGTCTTCAAGACATGTATCCAATCATAATATGCCAAATCACTGTAAGTGCCTGTAAGAAATGGTATATAAGGAGTTAAAGCTTTGTAATAAATTGGCATTCGCTGATCACATTGATCGTTTCTGCGTTGTCCGTGACTCCCGCGTCTAAACTGCTACTTCTTGAAGGGCAGTGGTGCTCCTTGAGGTACCTCATAACTGGTGATATAGTGGCTCCCCATAGGTTTCCTGCATCCTGTGCAGCAATTGTATCAGTTTGTATATGAGTCACTCCAGGGTGATAGATGATGAGGTTTCTTCAGGTTTGGGGATTCTGGCATGGGTTTGCTTCTTGAGCTTGCTTCAGTGCCCGGGTACTTCGGATACCCCTGGTACTTTGAATACCTCAGGCTCACCTTCCAGTGTTGCAGTTCTCAGACTCTCACTTGCAGTGACACTGAAGAAAGAAACCATCAGCCTGCGCCTTGGAATGATAAAAACCCAACTGCAGCACTAAATTACGAACATCTCAAATCACTTTGTGTATTCACTCTTCACATTCAATCCTTTGTTTTTCTACAACTCACAAGATGTTTCTTGATAACTGCTCAGTGTTTTCCGATAGACCAACTTCTGTTACTTAGCTCAAGCTTTCTGTATTCATGACAAACCTGATATTAAGGTATTGAATCTTACACTGGAAATGCTGGGTAGTTTTACCTTCTACTTTATTTCAGATTGTCTAGTAGTAATGAACTCATTAGTTATCATAAATATTTACCGTATCTTTAAAGTTGTCCAAGTTTATTTCACTTTCTACAAATACTTCACTTAAAACTTCTCTAACTTTATTTGAATAGTATCTCCTAGCACATAAATGGCAATTTTATCACTAAATACGTAATAACAAACCTTGCTTTCAGGTAAGTTTTTGCTGGCTTTTGGAGTACAAAGAAAGAATAACATTTGCTGTGGTGGTTTGTGTAATCATAAAAAAGAAAGGTGCTTAGGTATCCTGGATTTTCAGGAGGGCAGAATAAAACTTGCCAGTAAATTTTATCTAAGTTCTGTTGGCTTAAAATCTCATATACATATCAACATATCAGAAAACTGGTAAACTGCAGTGTTGTCTCTAACCTTGCTTCTCTTGGTGTTTCCAGAACCACCCCCTATCCCTTCTTTGTGTATGACCCCTATGGACAGAGGACTTTGTAGAGCCAAAGAGCTAAGATTTTTCTACAACTTCTCAACTGGAAGATGTCACACATTTAGCTACAGTGGTTGTGGTGGGAATGAAAATAATTTCACCTCCAGAAAGTCGTGTTTGAGGATCTGCAAGAAAGGTATAGGGGAGTGATACTTTCGCAGACTATCATAAGAGGTTAATGTTATACATGCTGAAATATTCTTGCAAATTTTGACAGCAAGTATTGGCCCAATAAAACATAATAGTTGAAAATCTTAGAAAAGTGAAAATGGAAATCAGAGCTAGAGAGAGAAAGATGTACAGTAAAATACAGTGCACAAGAACATAAATAAGACAACTTGGCATTGGTCAGGCATATGAAGACTTTAGGTAAGACATGTTCTCTTTTTTTAATAATATTTCTTCAACAGAAGACTTGCCTCATTTCTGATAATTTTGGATGTGTTAATCATACAGCATCTAATCTTTCTTCATTTTAACTTTAGGATTCAATAAAAAAAAAGGTGAAAGAAGATTAATAAAAATCAAGAAGAAAAGAAAGAAAGAGTCAGTAAAGCCTCTGTAAGGGGAAATCAACCCTGAAAGAATACAGCTTTGATTTTTATGGAACTGTGAACTGAATGTAATTTTTGTGGAAATGTAAACTACTATTCACCTGTGAGTGAAAGCCTTTAGTGTACACCTTTTAAATGTATTTACTGTACTGATTATTTTGATTACACTATTATTAAACTGATTGTTTTTCTTATGTATTCCTCATTCATGTTAATAAACATAACCTTTTACTTTGATACAGGCTCTTGAATGTAGTTCAATTGTATATACTTGTCAGAGATGGAAACACGACAGAGCAGACTGTGTGGGTGTATAACTCATGATAGAAGCAGACAAGATTCAAACTTACTTTACCCCAGTATTCTTTTTTAGAAATCTGTTTTTGTGCTAAAGAAAGCATAAGGCTTGTCAAAGAATAATCACTTGTCAAGCATGATTGTTTCAATTGTAGATTAAAAGATAGATCTGTTGCTATAAATAGGAAATAGGCACTGGGTTTGTTTTAGTAAGATTTATTTTAGGTTATGCAAGCTAGATTTAACTCCATCAAAGTGCATATAACAACACTATTGTAAAATGAGTATGAGATCAGAATTAACCCATCAAAACCCATAAAGAGTGTTAAAGTTGTAAATGTGTAAAACAATGATTATTTGCAAAGGTTTAAATGTGTATTTGTTGGGATTATTCATTTTTATCCTTGCTACTGAACTGGACTCATGGCTAGCAAGTTAATAATTTACAGAAATGTATACTAAATTTTTACAAAGCCCAGAAAAAATTGTCTTCAGAGAAATAAATACAGTTGCTTTAGAGATAACACTGTTGACTGAGGGGCTTATTTGGCTGGGTTTTGGTGGACTTTTTTAAGACTGACTTGAAACACTGGTACATCTTCCTGCCCTTCTCCAAGGCATCTGTCTGATCTTGGGTAAATCTTTGATGCTGAGATTTTTTTTTTTAAGGAAAAAAAAAAAAAGGAAAAAAGAAGTGGTTGGTTTCCTACTAAGGCTTTTAGAAGCACCTTGCTGCCTATGAAACAAAAGACAGTAGGATATTTTTGAAACTTCTTTCCTGTCTTTTCTGATGTTGTAAATCTTTTTACAAAGAATAGATGTGTTTGTAGACAGATTGCCTTGTGATCCCTGTGTCATTTCATGGTACCTCTCCTTCAGGCTCCCTCTTGGTCCAGCGGCTTGGCCGCTTGGATTCAACTCCTACAAAATTCACCCTGAAGTCTAGTCCTTTCTATCCCTGCAGGAACCTGTCTGTGTGGCTGCCCCCGATTCTTCTACGTCTCCTGCATGATGAGCTCTCCTGCAAACTGTGAGGGTCTCCTCACAGCATGTGCTCGGTTGCTCCCCAGGACTGTGAAGTCTTCTCTTTCCCCGGAAGTGCTGCAGCTAGGTCAGGACTAATAGGTACTGCTCTCCCACCCCCTGCTTGTACTATGCTGAAGAAACTTCTTGTGCATTCATTTTGTAGTAACAGTGACTAGACAAGGTAACTGAGTTGATCTCTTATGTCATTTTTGAGACAGAAAAAGATTTCATCGTTATGGCATCTGAACAGTACTTCCATTTCAATTGACTAAAATGATTTATCTTTTAGGCTCATTCCTTAATGTACTGAGAATTCAGACTGGAATGTTGTAGGCTATATAAAAATTGGTCTGATTATAATCAAAGATTTGATCTGAGTGTGCAGGCTCTTCTTGGTGTGTGTGCTTGGTTTGGCCACCATACCATTATCCAGCCATCTTCCTCCTGTGTTTTTATGTAGTTCTACAGTGTACAGAAGTAGTTTTTCCCATAAAAAGTTCAAACTACAGTGTGACCTGATACGATTTTCACCATCTCCACAAGAAGTTTCTTCTGTGCCCTTCTCCTTCATTCACTTCTTTTAATTCCTGCATCTTCAATATCTGTAGAAAAACCAAATGCAAGTGTAAGAAAAAAAGATCTGTGCATTTTCAAAGTTAAAGGGTGAATGTAGAAGGGGGTATAACTGAGCCGCAATAGAGGTAGAAGATAGGGAGATGGCAGAATGGTGAAGGTCAGGAAATGAAGCTATGCTAAGGTGACTTTACACCTCCTATTACGTGGAGTCCATTCATCCGGTCATCTCATTATGGAACCTACCTTGTTTGCTTTGGAGAAAATACACAGGGGGCCATGAGATTTCTCCCACTTTGCGTGATGGGAACAAGCTGAAGCAGTTTTACAGAGGTTTGATGAGTTTCCACATATCATCTGCCCTGCAGTAACTTGATATGTGCTCTTAATCCATACAAATGGTAAAGCAAAATGTCCTTGAGAAGTAGTTCAAAGTCTTTTTATTAATTATTTACTTGTATGCCTTCCTTTTCCTGATTTTTACTTTCTATCCCCTGCTTCTTTCTTATTTACAGTTCATTTGAGCCAGCTTTTCTCCCTGCATCTCCAATGCCTTTATTCTTTCAGAGCTGGCAGATTTATTTAGAGAAAATCTTTATAGATTCTACCTTTCAAACCAAAAATGGTAAAGTGGATGTAAGGATTATGTTTCATAACCGTCTGCTTTCAGTTGCTTATCTTGAGGAAGAACTGGGTTCAAGCAAAGTGAAGCATACCTTCATGAAGCTTTTACGCATGAACTCTCAGTGGTTTGCTAGTAGGCAGCATATGGCGGGGGAAGGGGACTGGTTTGTGCCGCCGTCGCTTTTGACCCTGTCGCAGTGCCACAAGGCAGGTCACCTGTGGAATGTTGTTTTTATGTGGCTTTGCTGGGGGAACACAACACGTACAGGTGAAAGATGTTCTCGTTACTCCCGGTTCTTCCACCCGTTCCACGGGACGTCGCCGCCAGGGGGCGCTCCCAGCTGCTGTGGTCGCTGGGCCTGAGGTGGGGAAACGGGGGTGCCGCGGCAGGGCGGCCGGGACAGTCCGGAGCCTCCGTTCCTCGGCGGAAACCCCATCCCCAGCAGAGAGGAACCTGCCACAGTGCAGTGCTGGTTTCCACAGCCGGGCTCGTAATCGGCAAAACCACGTGTATCCTCGGAGTTTTCACATCAGAAAGAAACTGTGGTAAGTGGTAGGATGGGTTTGGTTGTTTTTTTTTTTAAGCAGGTCCAGAAAAGGGCAATAGAGAAGGTGAAGGGCTAGGTGCACAAGTGTGGTGAGGAACCTGGGGAGGTTTGGTCTGGAGAAGAGAAGGCTCAGGCAGGACCTTACCGCTCCCTACAACTGCCTGAAAGGAGGTTGTAGGGAGGTGGGGGTCGGTTTCTTCTCCCAAGTAGCAAGAGATAGGAGAAGAGGAAATGGTTTCAAGCTGTGCCAGGGGAGGTTTAGATTGGATATTAGGAATAATTTCTTGACAAAGAGGGTGCTCAGGCATTGGAACAGGCTACCCAGGGCAGTGGTGGAATCACCATCCCTGGAAGTGATCAAAAATTTTATAGCTGAGGCCCTTAATGACATGGTTTAGTGGCCATCTTGGCAGTCCTGGAGAAATGCTTGGACCTGATGATCTTAGAGGTCTTTTCCAACTGTGTTGATTCTATGATTCTGTGATTCTTTGCTTCAAGTACAGTTGATGGAGCTCATTTAGCTCCCTTTGAAGGGCTCAGAGCCACCCTGGTTGTAACCCTGGCTCCTTCAGCCAGGAGGAGGGGGAGCTGAAGTACGGGGGGGGGAGGGGGGAGGGGATGAGGTTCAGTGTCCCTGAAGTGCACATTACACTGAGATGTCTCAAACACCTGTAGAGTAGGAGTAAGCAAGGTCCAATAACAGCTATATAAGTAGAACATAAGACTTTAAAATAATAATAAAAAAACACACATACACACAACTCTACTGAACTTGACATGGCAAATCAAACATGGACCATGCAATAAATCTCTACAACTGATCCAGATGCTTGTTCTTGAACACATGTGCTTCGCTGGAATACATGAGTTATTTCCTAGGTTACTGTATGTTAACATACAGTGTGGTAGTCTATACCCTAGACCTAACTGTCTAACATACTGCAGCCAGGCTCACTGCTGAGGACATTCCACTACCTGAGGTGACACTGTTGATTTCAGAGAAGATAATTTCCGTTACTGTTCGGAATCAAAGCTAATCCCTGGTTTATATCTGTTTACATAGCCTAGACTAAGTTTAGAGTGCCAGCTCTTCGTTCTTCAGTGATTATAAAACTAAAACATTCTCCTGTTGATGTAAGATCCTAGAAGCATCAAGACTTGCACATGCCAAATAAGTATTAAAGTCATGTGCTTGCTCTTTTAGTAACACTATAGTGTGCTTTCACAATTTGTAATGTCCACTGGCCATATGGATTTAAAGTATTCCTGCCCCTCTTCCAATTTTTTCTGACCCTGGCTTGTGGTTTTCAGTGGCCTTCATGCAGTTCACGGCATGTTACACAAATGTTTCTGTTGGTAAAAAGAGCAGATGAGCAACAGGTAGTGAGAAGCAGGCGGAGTATTTTACCTTGTTTCATAAGCAAATGAAATGGCTATATTTTGGATGTGCAATTAGGAAAATACGGCCTTTGTGAGGTCCTTATGGCCTCACATAAGGAGTGCTGTGTGTCAGATGTTACTATTTGAGTTTGGTGCTTCACTCCCCATTTGTTCATCGTATGCACTCAGCAGCTGCTTGCTCACTTGGAAAGCACAGATTCTGCCTATAGCACAGGTGTCAGTTGTACAAACAACAAGTGATAAATGCTCTCAAATAAATGTTTTTAGGTCCTGATGCAAAATCCTTTGAAGCTAGTAGAAAAACTGTCATTAATTTCATTTTGTCTTCAGTTATGCCAGTTTTCAAATTGGGTAGCTTATACTTGTGCTTTCAAATCACTGGCATTTAAAGAAATGTAACCCTGACATTTGTGCAGCAATATTCCTGCTGTTTTCTACCCTACTATATTTCAGAGACTTACTTAAACACAGGGTTTCGGTTTTCTTTGTTTGGGTGGTGTTTGTTTGCTTTCTTGGATATAAAACAAAGTGGTACTTGAAATTATGCACTTTAATCTGAAAACCTGATTCTGACCTTTACTGCAGTTTTACATTAGAGGAATGAAAGCCTTTCTCTGTAGTTTTTTTCAGCACTTACATTATAGGGCATAATGTAGCCCCTGTGCTTTGCTGGCAGAGGTAGGACAGGTCAGTCATACTGAGATGGAATATTGTTCTCTGCATAGAGGTCCAAGCCTATTCATTTCTCTGTGTCTAGTTTGATGAGCAGGACGACTCTTACTGCCTGCTACATGCAAAGACAGGCCCAGTGGTCTTCTCTGTAAGGGAGCAAGTGAATCTTTCCCGATCCTGTTGCATAGCGCCAGCTTTTACTCGGAGTGGAAGAGCTGCCGCCGGCCTCCGCAGAGGGAGACAGGCTCCGGCGACCGGGCCGGGTATCGCCCCGGTGCTGCAAGTGGCGCCAGAAGAGCCGGGCTTCCTCGGGATGCGCCGTTAACAGAGGGAGTAGTGAACGAACGCAGTGTACAGGCGGGGTCAGGGTGATGTCACAGGAAACGCTGATATTACGCGGCTGCCGCCGCCGCTGCCGCTCTGCGGTCGTACTCGGATGCGCTCCAGACGCAGCTCCGCGCACCCACTGCGCTCTGCAACAGGATCATACCCAGCGGGAGGAGCAGGCTGTCGGAACCTCTGAACTGGCCAAGGGGAAGAGAGGGAAGGAAACATCTCCTTTCTCGTTCACTGTAAAGGGAAATAGAACTGATTTATCTGAAACCATCTCTGTGTAAACTTGGTGTGGTGAGTACTGATCAAAACCGTTTCATTATTGTCCCGGAGAACAGTGGGGTTTGTGCCATTTGAACGCATTTGTAGTTACGCATGTGTACATGCTTTTGCATTAACCTCAGCGTGTTATGTGTAATCTACAGGGAGAAAGGGTGAAATGCTTTGTTTATTTTTTAGGGAGTGAAACGTTGAGCTGATTTTATAACTAGTGTTATATCGTTTAAGAAGTAATAAGTGATAAATAGGTAGAAAGGGACATGAAAATACTTAAATCTTAAGGTATAAGAAACTTAACATGATTTTGTCTGAAAATTCTGATATTAACTAACCAAATTTCTGTCTTTGCAGCTGGAGAGAATTAGAGACTCGTTAGTTAGAAAAGGGTCCTTAGGACTCATTCAGTACAGCTGGAGCTCTTTCAAGAGAGGCTGAACTAGGTGATTAAGTGGTATAGACTTTCTTACTGAATATTCCTTTAATCTTACTGACACTGTTGTACCTGAAAGAAGTCATACTCGAGTTATTTCATAATTAGGTTTTGTGTTGTAATTGCACAACTAAGATAAAGCTTCTATTATGTTTGGACTTGCTAGAGAAAAAGTTTGAGTTTGAAGCTTGTACATGTGCTGGGGTGTTACTGTTAGAGTTCTTTAGGACAGACACCAAAGTTATTTATTGAAATGTAATTGCCCACTATTTTGTTTCCCTGAGAAACTATTGAACAGTGGTATGTGATTCCATGCCTTCCAGTGTCAGTTGATAGTCTTGCCACTTCCTCAGCTTTCAAATGTGATATCCTCTGGTTTTACACATACAGTTGCATTACTGAGATTGCTACTTCTAGCCGTTTGCTTGTGTGCATGTAAGCAGTGAATCTGTAGAATCAGGAAAAGAAATCTTATTTCTGAAGGATAGTTTAGAAATAATACAGCCTATAAATTTGCTCTACAATGATTTGTTTAGTCATCCGTATAACTTATAGGGTCTGAGATTGGAATAATAATAAAAATAGCTGAGTTTTTTTCTTCTCTGCCTTAGTAAATTTATGCCAGATACTGGGTGTCAGATTTTGCTGCTCTTACAATTGTGCCAGTGCAGGGTTTTCCCATCGTATTGGAGATCTTGGTTTTCATTTGCAGTAATAATGCATGTAGCAGTTTAAACCTGTTTGGATCAGTGAAGTGCTAAAAGCCTGGTTGTTGTGCTTTGAATCTGAGGTCCTTTCAGTGGATTGGAAGGAGACACACTAAGTCTGTATAGTAAGACCAGATCAGAATCTATGTCTTTCTTTAAAAGTACCTATGCTGTGATGCTGTCTGAAATTCTCAATTAAAAATAATAATTTGTATTTTCATAGTATGAACTTTTGTAGTCTACTTAAACTCGCATTGACTTCACTGCATATAGGGCAATCCCAAAGTCTTTATACGACTGAAAGTCTTCAGCACAAAAGGTACATGGTGATGAGAAATCAAAAGGATGACACTTGGGAGAGAATGCATTCATGTTGTTTTAATGATCAGTGCAGTAGGAGCCACTCTCTTCAGAATTGCAGCAAAATGATTTAGATACTTATGTTCTTCTCAAGTAACTAGTTTGGGACTGCCCATATAGAAGGTGTCAGGCCATACGTGTGTTTGCAGGTTTGATGCCAGAATCTACATTATTTGCAGATTAAGCAAAAACAGTGGCAGGATAGTGATGTAGAACAGTGTGATTGAACTTCTTAGCAGGCAGCACTGAGGACCTGAATACACAGTGTGCAAGTTCAGGAGTTACATGATGTGTGTCCTGTCAACATCAAATATTACTGTTCTCTGAATTCCTGATCAGCTGGAGTTTTCCTCTGCATCAAGAAATGTAGTATTTGTCCCTTTGAATAAGCTCTTTCTGAGACAACTGTTGAAATCCTGGCCCACTGAGAACCAGTGGGATTTTTTTTCCACTGACTGTCAAAAGGGCCAGATATAAATGTGTGTATTTTTCTGTTGAAGGAATTATGCGTACATCACCTACTCAGTTGCTTGCGTCCTTGTAGTTTGTTGGCAGCTGTTTTTTTGATAACTTGTGCAATTTTTGAATGCTTAGATTGAAAAACGCAAATCTGCATGTCTCATTCTGGGTGACTAATGTCTTACCTGACCAAATAAAGGGGCTTACTCTGGGAACGCAGTGTTGTTCTGTGGGCTGTCTGGATATTGCAGTCTAGGTTTAGACTAGGATAAGATTAAGAACAAAGAAAGCTGAGGGAGGAAAGCACACATACATTTCCTTCACCACCAGTATACTTCCAACTTAATTCTGTGTTCTGTGCATGCAGGTTAATCTGCTGCCTCAAATGGCATTCTTGCGTGTACATAGCTTGCTATGTAGGATTGGGCCCAAGAGTTCACAGAATCATATGTATAAAAAATTCAAACCAGTCCATGGCCATTTGGAAAATACTATTGCTACCAATGCATTTTTAATAAAAGCGTTTACACAGTGATGTTTCAAAAGTATGTATGTAGCTACTTCTATAGTGAATACTGAACAGAAGCTATTTATGAAAGTAATTGAAGGAATTTCTCCAATGAGAAATCCAAGACTACAGTTAGGAAAACAAAATAGACCTTTTTAAAAAGTTGATCCCATCTCTTCCCAGCTTGTTTATAGTGTTCTTGATCTGCTAGCAAAATTCCTTCTGTGCTTCTGATTAGCTGTCATTCCTGTGGGGTGTATACACAATATTGGCATTAATTTAGTGTTACGGTCATCTCTGTTATAAAGCTCACGTAGCCATGGGTTTCATATGTGGTGGTTTCCTTTGTTTAGCTTTATGGTCGTTGAAAACAGCCTCTTAGTGGCTCATATAACTGTTTTGTTACTGGGAAATATTCTAAGTCTTTGGTGTAGCAAATTGTCAGAGCTCTGGAATTAACTATATTCCTGATACTGCTGTGTCAAGGAAGGAGTGAATACTGTTACTAAAACTGATGTGGGTTGTGACAAACAAGTAACTTCAAGCAGTAAAAGAAATCTGAAAGTGTGTTTATGTGTTTGTGTTTTAGACATATAATGTAATATCTTATTTCTGTGTACATATGTGCAATATATGCAGGTCTATACAGTACTGATTTTTATTACTTCTAACATACCAACTAAAGTGATACACATTTTTAAAAAGACTTTCAAAGTAAATTAGTCCTAAACCTCATCATTTGTTTAGAGAATTGTGAGTCATGAGTATTAATATTTTAAATTGAATACATTTGAATGTAGTTTCCTTTTAATATTTAAAAGAAAAAGGAGAAAGATTTCCATGGGTTTTCACAGCCATTTTTTTTTTTTTCTTCTTGCACTCATACTGGCAATTCTGATGTTTTCAGTGTAACACACTTGCACAAAGGGCAGCAAAAATTAGCCTTTTACTTACTTGTTATCTTGATGGACAGTTACACAGCCAGTGCAGTACAGTATCAGAACTTCTTATTGAATTTGTTTCCATTATAGCATGTGTTTTTAGCAATACTTTCTCTTTTTTGCCCTGGGAGTCTGGGCAAAACTGAACTGCATTTTCAGAGTATTGTTTTCCCGTTATCTTTCATGCATATCCGCCTTAGTCTCCCAAGGTTGTTTATACTGTTTACATTTTCCCAGCAGTCATTTTTTTCCTGCCCTAGTTCTGTGCAAACACTTTCAATCATCGTTGCAGTATACACTGTCCAAAAGAACAGAAGTGATTTATTTAGAGTTGCTTTTCCTCAGAAAGACAAATTTGAAATGTGCTTAGCTGACTGTAATGCATTAAAAAAAGACTTTCCATCAGAGAAGCAATGCACTCATTTTAAGAAAACAGATTTTCAGCTGGTGTAGATTTGCATGTGTCTCTGAAGCTGTTACCTCTTAATATGGCATATATACCACCCAAGGCTTTTGTTACAGTTTTGGCCACTATTAAGCTGTAGCTGACTGCTAAGATACTAATTAAATTTTAGAAAATAAAACACTGTTTTATTTCTGGATATATGCCTGGATCATGGAGGCCTTATATAAAAATATCCCAAACAAAATTAGTGACAGACTTTTGTTTAATGAAGCCTGTCCCAGTCTGACTTCCCATTTAATACCAATGGCAAGGAGCAAAACACAGTGGTGATTGGGGCTTATTTAATTATTTATAGCAGCTACATCATATACTGTCATATAGTTAGCTGTGTTTAGGCAGGATATCTTCTTAGTTCCTAAAAACTATATGCTTTCCATGTATTCTCTGATAATTCAGTGCTTTAAAACTGCACAACCTTGATGCTTGCATGTGCATACAATGTCACTCTTTGTGTTACCTTTGAGTTTTCCCCCTTTGTTTTCTCACCCACTCTCACAGCGGTAAAATCTTGGAAATTAAAGTTAATAAATTTTGTATTATTTTAGTAGTGGCAATACTGGTAGAGTTTCATTAAAGCAGAAGATGTGCTGAGAATGTAGTATATCAAAACTAATTCTTTTAGGCTGCAAAAATATATTTATAGTAATATTATCAGAATGGGTATAGTTTGTCTGCCAGTATTGTGCTCTATAATCCTTCCTAGATAGAAACTTGAAAATGCACATTTTGAAAGCGAGTAAAACCTTTAGTCATCATCCTATTTTCCTCTATGTTTGCATGTATGTATTTACTTACTGCCCTAAATGAAGCAAAAAGTAGGATATTCTGCAACCCTTTATTACTAAAAGGGTGCATTTTTGCGATGAATATCCTGTAATGTTCTGTAGAATGAGGATATCTGCCCTTTTGTTTCTGTTACTGAAATCCAGCAGGTTTCACTCTGGGGATTAAATAACGAACATTTTGCAAATGGTGATAAATTTGTTTGGGAGGTGTGATGTAGAATTTAAAAGTCTTTGTTCTAATACATCTTTCCAGGGTGACTTTTTGACCATGCAAGCCTTTTTCAAGTTTCTTTTTCTGATGACATGATTTAACGGGTAGTGTTCATGAACCTGCATATCCCTTTGAACACAAAAAATGA